TTCTTGTTCTAATTCTTACCTCTTCCTTTTGTCATTTAAGGTTGCTAGGTTGCTTTACACTAATTCAGGAACCGGGGTTTTAGCTTTAACATGCAATGCTATTCACAAGCTATGGAAATGGCCGAAGACTGATAGGAATGCCACTGGCAAGGTGCTATATGTTTTATTGCAACTTAAAAATCACTTTTCTAGACTGCGAATTCGCAGTCTAGAAAGATTATTTCGAAATATCCCTATCCTTGTGTGGTCTTTTACGTTTAAAGATTATTTTTGCTTTCGCCAGGCAACTGCGCAGGTTGCACCCCAGCTGTGGCTACCTGCCAGTGGTATACTTATGACCAATGAAATGAGTGATGCAAACCCACAGGAAGCTGTCCATTGCTTTGCATTATCTAAGAATGATTCCTATGTTGTGTCAGCATCAGGCGCCGAGATTTCCCTTTTCAATATGCTAACATTTAAGGTTCCTGATTTTCAGTGCTTAATTTTATGTTGTCACTGGTAATTTTGTGTTGCCTCAAGATGTGTGTTTTTATGTCATTGCAGACAATGATAACATTTAAACCACCCCCTCCAGCAGCCACGTTTCTTGCTTTCCATCCCCAGGACAATAACATCATTGCCATAGGCATGGATGATTACTCAATTGAAATTTACCACGCTCAGAGTTCCAAGGTTAGTTTCCTCTTTAAGCAAAGAATATGGATTTCTGGAGGATTCATGCAGCATGCTGATGATAGCCTAACGACTTTTTTTTAAAAAATTATCTCACACAGGTTAAACGCAAGCTTAGAGGACATCAAAAGAGTATAACTGGACTTGCATTTTCTATTGCCCTAGATGTTCTCATTTCATCAGGAGCTGATGCTCAGGTTTGTTACAACAGCGAAATTATTTTTCTTTGTTTTCATGACTAATTATGAGGTGAAAATCTACTGCATAAGTTTGTTCAATATGTCTTGTCATGCCTTAAGAACGTCCTTTTCTTGTGTTAATCATTCTTCATTGGTGATGTGAAAATAGTGTATATAACTCAGCCCTTCTTCCGTTAAATATTACATGAAACTAAACAAATGATTTAATCATGTCATGATATCTTAAACTTTCTTCTCGTAGTTGTGCGTATGGGGAGTGGATGGCTGGCAGAAACAAGCCNAAAAAGATGGTAAATTTTTACAGACACGTTCTGGAAGAGCAGCAGGTGCTCATGCAGAAACTCATGTCCAGTTTCACCATGATCAGATACATTTTTTGGTTGTGCATGAGACACAGCTGGCCATATATGAAGCACGAAAACTGGAATGTATAGAACAGGTGAGCTAGCTATCTTTTATTCTCTTTGCACACCTTAAAATACATAGTCGATGTTATGCATATGGAGTTAACATCTGCATAAATGATTGTAAACCTTGGTTTCAGATGATAAACACTCTTATATTTTCTACTTGTGTGTAGTGCAAGATCAAAATAAGTAAGACTCTTAATTTGTTTTGGCCCCAGTATAGTCCTCCCCGAGTTACTGACAATTGATGCTTACGTAATTGAGGAGTTCATCCAGTGCCAAATTAATTGTATTACCACTAAAGTTTTTTCTTTGACAAAATAACTAATTGTAAACGAACCCTCTTAACCGGTTAATAGAAAATGCTCAATGACCATAAAGTGAGTGGCCCATGTGGTGAACTGGTAATACACCTATGTGGTGGTTGGCATTAAAGGATTTACATTAAGCCCCTCTCACATGCACGTAGCTTCTTGGCTCAACAAAGCATCAATCCAGAGGATCCGATAGGTAGATATTAGTTGTAAAATTTGGTCATTATTTCAGTCTTCCTCCTCTAGTGATCTCATATATGTGGGAGAATCTTATATGACGAGATGATGCCAGTAAATGACGCTTTTTTGAATATTAATCGCATTATATTAAACATTCATAATCCATGAATGCTCAGAGACTGTTATATTAATGGGATTATTAGTTTATGACACTGCTGTATTCTGTAATCACTTGCCAGAATTGTGTATATTGCAGGTCCAAGGAAATCTATACATTGTATGGTGTGTTATAATATCTTATCTGTAACATGAACTGTTTATTTATTTTTTCTAGCACTTTTGGTCATTTTCATCAAATTTCATTTTAAATTTGTAACATGAACTGTTTATTATTTCTATAGCACTTTGGTCATTTTCATCAAATTTCGTTGTATTATAATTCTACTCTTTTCACAGTGGTTTCCACGAGGGGAATCAATCGCCCATGCAGCATATTCTTGTGATAGCCAAATGATATATGCAAGTTTCACAAACGGAACTGTGGCTGTATTTACTTCAGCACTTAGATTGAGGTGTCGAATTAAGCCCAGAGCCTATCTGAATCAACAGAGGTATGGATGACATATAATATTACTGTTTGTGAATTGGGGTTGCATTCTAATGTTTGTATTTTGAAAAGGAGGATCATTGGTAGATGCACCCCCGGGGTATAGACTTGTCATCCATCCTATTTTATCAGCGCACGCACCTCCTAACACCATGATGGTGTTAGTTACCCATTAGTTTTTAATCTCAGGAGGGAACCTTGTGGACATGTTCATGGTAAAAGAAGTCTTATTCTATATGATTTCAGAGGATGTTAAATAATCTAAAGGGAAAAACAAGTCATCATGTGACTAGAGGTTGTATGAGTTAATAGAACAAAAAGCGGGTGCATCTGCAATAATCCTAAAGAGCATGCTACTGGCATCTCACAGTGAAACTCCCTTGACTTTCAAATTCATGAACCCTTATAGTATGTTGCCATGATATTGCAAAAGCTTACCTTTTCCCTTCCCCCTTGCATGCATAAATCATATATTGCTGCAATGTTACCTGTAGATTGAAACAGAGCCTTCATTACTTTTCATGTTCATCTATGACTTCTGAAACTTAGAAATCTTTTGTTTGTTTACAGCTCCGATGTGCACCCAGCTGTCGTTGCGGCCCATCCATCTAAACCATATCAGTTTGCATTAGGATTAACCGATGGCAGTGTCCACATACTCGAGCCTTTAGAGTCAGAAGGCAAATGGATGCCTGAATCTTCACCAGAAAATCCTGCTTATGATCATTCTTCAAAGCGATGATACTGAACACTAACTCTGCCAAGTGACGCAGGATGAAGGAAAAGAGATCTATCCGAGTTTAACACCACAGAAAGAATAGCTGACTTGCAAAAGGTACAGTGCTCCTAAACTCTAGGCACGGTTGTAGGGAAGAACACTAACTTGTTTCAGATCAAGCATAGCTCTCAGTAAAATCACGGAAGGGAGGAGATCAGTCACTTTTTAATGATATAATGATCTTTCCCTCTCCCTTAAAAAAAATATTCTACAGGAAGGCGCAGTTTTTACATTGTATACGCTTTGAGGCCTTAGAGAAACCTTTTTTTTTTAAATGCGTTTTTGTTGACGGGCAAGTACACTTTCTTTGAAAAGAGAAAGGATGCGTTTTCTTATAGTAGATAAAAAAAAGGGGTAATTTAACCAAACCTCCAATAAGTTTTGGCATCTGGTACTTAAGCTCCAAAAAGTTTGAAACTTACCAAACTCCCAGCAAGTTTGGGAATGCCAGAAAACCCCTAGAAAACCACCAAAACATTATGATTTTCCCCCCATTTAATTAGTGTCACGAAGAATATGAAAGGGAAAAAACAATTGATCATGCTTGACTGACTCATTATAATCAAAGATTTCAGATAGCAAATGCTGGACTAATAATTCTATAATTCCTTCAATGAAGTGGGTGGAGCATGATATCGGGACCCAAACCCAAATCCTCATAGGGGGCGTTAAGTATATAACCCCAAATTATCCATTTTCGCAAAAGTTAACACAAAAATTAAGAATATCTTGGAAATACTTAGCTTAGCTTTTGAGGGGTACTTAGGTCGATAAAAGTGAGGGTAATGTTGCGCGCAGCGGAAATTTCGGCAGCACTTCGACAGCACAATAAGAGAGTCATGTCGCAATAGGAATTCCTGTTTCACCAAGGAAACAAGAACCTTAAGCAAAATATCTTAACCAAGTGAGATACCAGCTCTTCCTCTCATCAGCTCTAGGACTGACCTGTCGAGGGAACCTAAATAAGCTATTACAAATCACACAAATAGGGAAACAACCGATTTTACGTGGTTCGGCAAATTGTCTACGTTCACGGGGAGAGGATGAGGAGATTCTACTAAATCAAGGAGAGTACAAATGGTTACAATCTCACAAAACTCACAAACTAACCATCAACCAAAGCTCTCAACTTGCTCACAATATCTCTCTCTCACAATGCTCAAAAGTCTCTCTAATCTCTGATTACAACTCTCCTCTATTTTGATTGATTATAATCTTTTATATATATAGAAATCCTAAAACCAAAACAGACTAGGAATCCTAAAATCAAAAACAAAACAAATTAGGAATCCTAATAACCTCATGTTACCAAAATAGATTAGGAATCCTAATAACCTCATGTTACCAAAATAGATTAGAAATCCTAATAACCTCATGTTATCAAAATAGATTAGGAATCCTAATAGATTAGGAATACTGCTATCCAACAATTCTTCACCTCAGCAAAGTATTCCAAAAACTGAGCCGACACCAACATGAGCACCAATGTGTCGTCTTACTAAATTCGACTGCACCAATGTGGTTGCCTACGTACCCCCTCTCCCAATGGATCAAGTCGTCCGTAGTTCATCCAAATGGCCGTCAACGGTCTCAACAACCACGAATGTGCAATAAGTTTCGATAATGATCAAACTTGTTGCTCGAAATCACCTTAGTGAGCATATCCGTCGAATTATCCTTCGTGTGGAATTTTACAATCTTCACATCGCCATATTCAAGAACATCTTGAACGAAGTGATAACGAACGTCAATATGTTTCGTCTTCGCATGAAAAACCTGATTCGTCGTCAAATAGATAACACTCATGCTATCATAATGAATAGTGACGGATCGCTGTGATATATCAAGTTCCTCCAAAAGTCCTCGAAGCCAAATAGTCTCCTTCACAGCCTCTGTAATCGCCATATATTCTGCCTCCGTTGTAAACAAAGTCACCGTCGACTGTAAGGTGCATCTCCAACACACCGGCGCACGGGTCAAAGTGAACACATACCCCGTCGTAGACCGGCGCTTATCCAAATCCTCGGCATAATCCGAATTAACGTAGCCAATACATAACTGCCCATTTGTAGTGTCCCGCTCATAAATCAAACCAACATTGAGCGTACCTCAAATGTACCTCAAAAGCTATCTCACGACGTCCCAATGACCCACTCCTAGATCGTGCATGTATCTCGAAACCATGCTCACTGCCTGTGATAAATCTGGTCTTATACATAACATCGTATACATCAAGCTTTCAACCACGCTCGCATATGGAGTCTTCGATATCAACTCTCGATCTTCAACTCTTTTCGGTGAAAGATCAGTTAAAAGCTTCAAATGGGCTCCCAATGATACACTAACTGGCTTCGTATCCATGCTAATATGAAATCACTGTAGAACATTCTTCAAATAAGCCACATGTGTCAAATAAATTCTGCCATTCTTCTTGTCTCTGCCGATCTCCATCCCTAAAATGCGCTTCGCCTCACCCAAATCCTTTATCTCAAACTCTTTTGAAAGCTGTGCTTTTAACTCATCTATAGCAGATCTAGAAATAAAGGCAACCAACATGTCATCGACATAAAACAACAAATAGATGTACGCACCTCCTTTCAACTTGCGAAAATATACGCAGTGATCAAATTGGCTCCGAGTGCATGAATGACCAATCATAAAACCATCGAATCGCCTATACCATTGTCGAGGAGACTGCTTCAAATCGTATAGCAATTTCTTCAATATTCAAACCAATTTTTCTTTCTCTGCAGCTCAGAATCCCAATGATTGAGTCATATATATTTCTTCATCAAGATTACCATAAAGAAATACCGTCTTCACATCCAACTGATCTAACTCCAAACAATATTATGCCACCAAAGCTAGTAAAATCCGAATCGAATAGTGTTTCACCACCAGAAAAAAACCTTATTATAGTCAATACCTTCCTCCTGTGCATAGCCCTTCACAACCAACTTAGCTTTGAACCTCACTGGAGTGCCCTCAATGCCCTCCTTCTTCGTGTATACCCACTTGTAACCAATTACCTTCCGTCCCTTTGGAAGCTCAACAAGCTCCCACATATCGTTCTTGTGAAGAGACCCCATCTCCTCCTGCATAGCCATCTGTCACGAATCAGCCTCCGAATTCTGCTCGGCCTCTCTGAATGTAGTAGGTACCATCTCATCGATACTCTCCACCGGAAATGCATACGCAACTGTATCGGTATATCGTGCTGGCATCCGTATATCTCTCCTCTGTCTCCGAACCGTAATAGAATCCTGAACCTGAGTCGTCGGTCCCTGATCTTGCACATCAGTACCCGTATCCTCCGTGTCACCGTCGTGCTTACCTAGCGTCACCTCAGTCGGTACTCTAATGGATACTGTACCATCTAGACAATATGGAGCTGCATCGATCTCCACCACCTACGATATCTCCTCCGTCGGGTCGCTCTCCACCTCAAATCATAATTCGTTAATGCATTAGTAACTTCACTATAGCTGATAGAAGATTTTTCGTTTAACAAAGTGAACACAAAGGTGTCATATTCCTCATTCGGTAAGGAGCCCAATAAGATAATAGCCTTGTACTCATCCAATATCTTCTCATCAACATGCGCCAAGTCGGATAACAACTTAGTGTAGTTGTTCACATGAACCGCTAGTGAGGTGTCTCGGGACATCTGAAATCTGAAAAATCTTCGCAGCAAGTGTAAACGGTTCTCAACACTCTTCGTAAGGTACTTATTATTGAGAATTTCCTACATCTTTATTGCAGACGTTACCCCAATCACATCATAATTTAGCTGTTGTTCCAAATAGGACCTGATCACCCCACAAGCGTTCCTATTCATCTTTTCCCATATCGTCTCTTTATATTTTGGTGGTCTCTCGTGGACCATGATGGTCTTCTCCAAGTTATGAGCATTAAGCGCATCCTGTACGTTGCTCATCCACAAACCAAAGTTAATTTTACCGTCATATTTCATCACACTAATTTTGGTATTCTGAAAACCAACTTGAACTGTACTCGCCATCGATTTGCCGTTTTTACCTTCTTCTCCCATTGCAAACTAGCTCCAAGTTATAGAAAAAAAATCAAACTTTGATAGAAATTAAGAATTACCCAACTGAACCCTAGATCGGATTCCAAATAGATCTCTTGTCCACACGAGGAAAGCGAAATCTCAAACGATAACTCCTAATGCTATCTCCACCGAAGCCTAGAACTCCAAGAACCAAGCTTTACACAAGAATCTTCCTCCACCTAATTTCAAAAAACCCTAGATCTGAATCCTGGCTTTGATACCACTTGTTACGCGCAGCGAAAATTTCGGCAGCACTTCAACAGCACAACAAGAGAGTCAGGTCACAATAGGAATTCCTGTTTCACCAAGGAAACAAGAACCTTAAACAAAATATCTCAACCAAGTGAGATATCAGCTCTTCCTCTTATCGGTTCTAGGACTGATCTGTCGAGGGAACCTAAATAAGCTATTACAAATCACACAAATAGCGAGATAACCAATTTTACATGGTTCGACAAATTGCCTACGTCCACGGGGAGAAGATGAGGAGATTCCACTAAATCAAGGAGAGTACAAAGGGTTACAATCTCACAAAACTCACAAACTAACCCTCAATCAAAGCTCTCAACTTGCTCACAATATCTCCCTCTCACAATGCTCAAAAATCTCTCTAATCTCTGTTTACAACTCTCCTCTATTTTGATTGATTCCAATCTTCCATATATATAGAAAACCTAAAATCAAAACAGACTAGAAATCCTAAAACCAAAAACAAAACAAATTAGGAATCCTAATAACTTCATGTTACCAAAATAGATTAGGAATCCTAATAACCTCATGTTACCAAAATAGATTAGGAATCCTAATAGATTAGGAATACTGCTATTCAACATGTAAATCAATAGCAAATATCTAGATTTTGATCCTGACTAGCCCAACATTGATAAGCTCTAAAAAAATCCAGCCCAACATCGACAAGCTCTAAGAAAAAATCGACCGTCAACAAAAACAGCAACCTAGATCGACTCTGTCTCCAGCGACAACCTTCCATTCAATCTCACCTCCTCTGTCCCTTGCTTCCCCTCACCGCTGGATATATCAGTTTCAGGTCAAGCATAGATCTTCATAAAATCATGGTTGCATGGCTTCTTTGAATGTGATTCTCCATGACTCAACTTCTCGTCTCCACTAATGACGCTACTTGTTTGATGCCAAGAAATGGATAGTTGTCATAATGTTGTTCGATACCAAGAAATGGGGAGTTAGTCAAGTGGCTTCATTGGCTCTGATGCGCGTGAATAAGGGTTGCTCAGTTATAGGGGTTGAAAGTGTGAGCGAGAGGCGTCCGTCTTCTTTAGTACCTGTAAACTGGGATCTTTGGGGCCTGTGCACACGAATAGCTTGTTAGGGGGACGGGACTTCATCCAAACCAAAATCCCTTCAAGACGCTCGAGTCAGTCCATTATAGTGGAAATGAAAACAAATTAAATATCATGAAGAGAGCTTTACAAACACACAACTCTACTGCTACCAAAATAGGGCTCCAGGGCATGAGTCAACAATAAGTTTGAACACTACGGCTTGGTCAAAGTTGACTTTCCATGCATCATCGTTGGGTCTGCTACAGTGTTGCTCATGGAGATGACATTTTCACGTTGTCTTTCTCGTTTCGCTGGGAATTAGAATGCGTTTTGCTTCCATAAGCTATATTCATGTGCACGCTTAACCTATTCAAAGCACCTCTTGTGAATGCCAACATATTAGAGTTACCTCATTGCGACACATTATTATGACTCGAAAAGATTGATAGAATAGAATTCACATCCAAATACATGTGTGAAGAACGTTGATGTTCAGCAACCAAAGCATGTAGCACACTGTAGCTTTTGAAATCAATTCTTCTGAAATTGTAAATGTGCATGTGTGTCTAGGATTGCCACTATCTCCTTGGCAGAGCACTTTCGCTCCGCACTTTGTTATTGACGTTGATGCATGGATGCTCTTATGCTTATGCATACAAATCCTAGACTCTTAACCCATGAGATGAGAACTACACATACCTACCAAACAGTAGTACATGGATTAGCGTGGGCTATTTTGGTATTAACACTTAGGTGTTCTCAAAATACACACACTAAGAAGTATACTGCAGATAACTCCCTTTAAGCTCAAGGTTAAGTGTTATGTGCTGTCACGTGTCCTGCCATGGTGAGAATTGGCGCATAAAACTAGAGACACTGAGAGATGGGACTCGCCTCTAAATAAATGCCAAAGATCTTTTAGGGTCAAATTTGTTCACGTTTGAACTATTTTATGATGTTACATGTGCAAAAAGATATGCAAGACTGCCGTCAGCATGAATATGTTCAGGCAAGATACATGGGTCTATTTGTGTCCTAGACCAACCTCTATTTGTGTCCTAGACGAACCTGTACAGTTAGCAACCTGTACACCTGAGTCTCTTCCAGAATTGCACAGGAGTTATTTACACCAGCATGCAATTGACATGCCTGTCACATTTGAAATAGAGCCCGAACTACGTCTTACTCCAGCTAAGTTCTGGAGCTAAGTTTCTTGATCTCAAATTGTCCATTACTCCTTTCTCCTGAAACAAGCTCCATATGAAATTTATCCATCAAAATCATTTTCTTATTTTAGGAAAGGTTATATAACCTGAAGCGAACCTATAATAATAAGTTTTTCGATCATAGGGAGGCCTTACTTACCACTATGGTTCAATAACACCCAAGGTCCCAATTACACATCTGTGAACATATTTGATTTTCAAATTTCCTTCCAAGAATAATGGATCTTTATGGGGTCCCGTCCATTTCATGCTAATCCGAGCTAACCCCTGGATGATGAAGTGTCCCATGCTTCCACACATTGCTCCTCCTTCCTCAAAACAACCATCCTGCTTCCACCAAATCCTAATCTAACAATTTTTTTCCCACCCACGTCCTCTCTCCTTCCCATAAAGATTCTTCCTCATCACCCTCTCCCCTGGTTCCCCACCATCCTCGTTCCCTCCTCGTCCCGCTACCCGCCAGAACCTCGCTCCATATCTCCACATCCCCGCCTCTGCTCGCAAACACCTTGTCTCCATGGCACTCCAGCAATTAAACAAGGGCAAATTTGCAAAATAGACCGTTTTTTGAATAAAATTAGCGAAATAGACCGTTTTTGGAAAAAATTAGCAAAATAGACCGTTTTTTGGGAAAAGAGGTCGATTTTGAAAAATGGATCAGAAAACATACGGGACTACTAGTCCCGTATGTTTAAAGTTCAATTTTGTTTGTTAACAAAACGTACGGGACTAGTAGTCCCGTACGTTTTGACAGTAGCCAATTCCACTGCCCAGCAAATCCACGGGACTACTAGTCCCGTGGATTTTGCAGAGCAGCTAAAGCCCCTGCCCAGCAAATCCACGGGACTACTAGTCCCGTGGATTTGCTGGGCAGGATACACCAAACATGCACGAGCCTCATTTATCGATTACAAGCAAAATTTTCGCCAAAAAGATATCATTTACAATATCACAACACAAATCTCATCATAGAGTACGTCACCACACAAATCTGACGTAATCAACAACATCACAACACAAATCCAACGGAATACACATCACATCCAAAATCCGACAAAAATACACATCACAAATCCATACGATAATATATATCAGTCTAAGCTAAACAAATCCAAATGTCTCAAGTCGACCCATACGATAATATGTAGTTTAAGATAAACAAATCCAAGGTCAATAAATCCATACGACAATATATATCTTAGTGGAAAAACTAACAAATAAAAAATCCACCCCTTCCCCGTCGTCTCTCTCTTCGCACTCGTTGAGATCGTCGGCGTCCTCCTTCGACTTGAGCTTGAATATGCTCGCTCTCCGGTTGTGTGTGGGGCTGTGATGGACCGGCTTGCTGTGACGGACCGGCTTGCTGTGACGGACCGGCTTCATCGTCGTGCGTGCAAGGTCTACCGCGCCTACGTCGGCGTACATATAGAGTATCGTCAAGATCCACCTGCTCACGACCATCATGTCGATCCTCATAAGTTTGTTGAAAAGCTTTACGAACTCTCGCCACTATCCGATGCAATATCGATACATGTACTGAATCTCCTGTGGCGGTAACTATGCCCTCATTTGCAAGCCCCTCGACGTCATCCATAGCATCTATCTACAATTACATAAAAATATTGATATTAGAAACCATAAGCTAAGAAGAGATTGACATTCTATGATAATTTTGACAATTTAACTTACCCATCGTCGCTCATCTACCCCTCTTGGTACATATCGGGATTGTTGGGAGCGAATCTCGATTTCGTCGACTGGAGGCGTAGTTTGAGTGATTATCCAACGTCTGGTAATCCCCCAATACCATTTAATGTAATCAACTTCTTCCATCGGAGGATAAAGCGGATCGACAATAAGTTGATGCCGATCATTCCACCGAGCTATGTATGATTGATGCGTGCGCCTCCAGTCAATCTGATGTCCACCTTTAGTCGTTTGTCGAACGAATCGCGAGCTCCTGTTTTGCGGTCGCTCGCTTTGTGGGTTCTTTGCCTGCGCCGGGGTTGTTTGCCGTGGACCACCGCGCGATCTAGATCCGGTCGGATCTACGCAGTACAACGGGTATTATTTCACCAAGGAAATAATAGCCGGGGAGGATTGTTTCACCAAGGAAACAATCGTCCAAGTCTCGGGATCTAAGACCAAGCTTAGATCCGGAGTGTAGCAACGTAGATCTGAGATCCGATCCTCTCGAACACCTGCCTTATTTGACGTTGATGATCGCCGAGCACCAGATCTGAAGGAGTGAGTCCCCGAAGTCCCAAAGTTTCAATCTTTTTTAAGTTCCGAGTCTCCAATCCAGCAGGGCTTCGCCTCTCCAAAATTTCCAACCCTTGAACAAATGAACCAAGGGGGCCTATTTATAGGCTCCCTTTACTGTGCCCGCGAAATGACAACTGTCGGCCACCTCTGGGTGGCCGCGAAATGACAACTGTCGGCCACCTCTGGGTGGCCGCGAAATGACAACTGTCGGCCACCTCTGGGTGGCCGCGAAATGACAACTGTCGGCCACCTCTGGGTGGCCGCGAAATGACAACTGTCGGCCACCTCTGGGTGGCCGCGAAATGACAACTGTCGGCCACCTCTGGGTGTTGTGGTTTTTGCCGTTTTTTCCGGTCTCGTGATTCGGTTGATTTAGATCCTGATTTGGCAGTAAACCTGATTCCTGATTTGGCAGTAAATCTGGATCCTGATTAGGCAGTAAATCTGATTCCTGATTTGGCAGTAAATCTGGATCCTAATTAGGCAGTAAATCTGATTCCTGATTTGGCAGTAAATCTGGATCCTGATTAGGCAGTAAATCCGATTCCTGATTTGGCAGTAAATCTGGATCCTGATTAGGCAGTAAATCCGATTCCTGATTTGGCAGTAAATCTGGATCCTGATTAGGCAGTAAATCCGATTCCTGATTTGGCAGTAAATCTGGATCCTGATTAGGCAGTAAATCTGATTCCTGATTTGGCAGTAAATCTGGATCCTGATTAGGCAGTAAATCTGATTCCTGATTTGGCAGTAAATCTGGATCCTGATTAGGCAGTAAATCTGATTCCTGATTTGGCAGTAAATCTGGATCCTGATTAGGCAGTAAATCCGATTCCTGATTTGGCAGTAAATCTGGATCCTGATTAGGCAGTAAATCTGATTCCTGATTTGGCAGTAAATCTGGATCCTGATTAGGCAGTAAATCTGATTCCTGATTTGGCAGTAAATCTGGATCCTGATTAGGCAGTAAATCTGATTCCTGATTTGGCAGTAAATCTGGATCCTGATTAGGCAGTAAATCTGATTCCTGATTTGGCAGTAAATCTGGATCCTGATTAGGCAGTAAATCTGATTCCTGATTTGGCAGTAAATCTGGATCCTGATTAGGCAGTAAATCTGATTCCTGATTTGGCAGTAAATCTGGATCCTGATTAGGCAGTAAATCTGATTCCTGATTTGGCAGTAAATCTGGATCCTGATTAGGCAGTAAATCTGATTCCTGATTTGGCAGTAAATCTGGATCCTGATTAGGCAGTAAATCTGATTCCTGATTTGGCAGTAAATCTGGATCCTGATTAGGCAGTAAATCTGATTCCTGATTTGGCAGTAAATCTGGATCCTGATTAGGCAGTAAATCTGATTCCTGATTTGGCAGTAAATCTGGATCCTGATTAGGCAGTAAATCCGATTCCTGATTTGGCAGTAAATCTGGATCCTGATTAGGCAGTAAATCCGATTCCTGATTTGGCAGTAAATCTGGATCCTGATTAGGCAGTAAATCCGATTCCTGATTTGGCAGTAAATCTGGATCCTGATTAGGCAGTAAATCCGATTCCTGATTTGGCAGTAAATCTGGATCCTGATTAGGCAGTAAATCCGCTTCTGAGTTCGAGTCCGAAACTGATCTTGATTCGATCGTGATTCGTCCGAGTTTGTCCTTGGTTGGATCACTCGTTGACTCTTTAACACTTGGCTTGATTCCAAATGCGAACGGATGTATTCCGTTGCTTGCGTGCGATTCGTCGATCTCGTCGCCTCGTTGGTTCGTCGGTTTGTGCCGAGCTGTGCTAAGGGACCTATAAGCAATTTTATATGCCTACAGATACCCCCTCCAAAGTATTTCAGTCTCGTTCTTTTATAGAAGAGTCTGGAATACTTTGGATATGATTGTCCCCACCTTCAGTCGGTGTAACGGGACCTTGGAATGGCTTCTGTTCTTGATTCCTTCAATCCTTCAGGCTATTCGGTGCTTTGTCGAATGTCTGTAAGGGTTCCGGTGCTGCATTTATTGTCTGACCGTTGTCGGAAATTCGAACTTGAAGTCAATTCCTGGTTTTCTGATTTTTAGCTCGTGCTTGTTGGTTGAACACAGAACTGACCCTCGACTGTCGGCGTTGAGTCTTTATTTGCGACGCGTTGTCTCCTAATTGATTACATTGTCCACATCGGGTTCGTGACGCTACTCCTTCACGACCTTGATCCATGGTAGATCTAATGCGTACGGATTTTGGTCGTCCAGCTTGTCTTTTGTGCTTAGGTGGTAATAAGTACGGTATATATAATTCCGGCCAATAGCGAGTATCATCGGGAGGATGAAAACTCTCCTTATAAGCCCGCCGATAATGATTTGTTGAATACCAAGCTGAGCAATATCGGTCATAAAGCAATCTAGCTCCACCATCTTGATTGGAACTAGCTGCTAAAACGTGTTGACATGGGATTTTCTGTAATTGTGGTATACTACAAGTACAACTGCACTCCTGATCGTCGAGATGAACGGTGTATGTACCATCACAATCTTTAACCTCCCACTCATTGTTGTTGAATTGTTCAATTCTACATGTTCTCACAGCCACAATCCTTTTCTGCAAAATAATCTCATTTTTTGGAGTGTACTTACTCGTCCAATTTGCACTATCAATGCGCCTCTTATTAAAATATGCGTTCAATCTATAAAACGTCCTTGCAACTAAGGCTTGAATTGGCATAGCACGGGCACCCTTAAGTACGCCGTTGAAACTTTCGGAACAATTAGTTGTCATCATACAATATCGCACTCCACCATCTTTACATAATGCCCATCGATCTTCGTATTGCGGCTTCAAGTTTTGTTCAATCCAATCGTGGGCTTCAAGTGATATGGATTTAATTTTCTCTCTACAATGCTCATATACCAGTGAGTCAGTTGCACAACCGGCTTGCCATAATAGATTTTGTAAATTGACCTCTCCATGTTTTTTCTTAAAATTAGCTCTTATATGCCGCAAGCAATATCGGTGATGATGTGGTGCACTCCACCCCTCGTGCAAGGCTCGTGGAATTCCTTTCATCCGGTCAGAAATAAAGGTAATAACTCGTGGACTTTGAACAGTCGGAATATATTTGTAAATACATTGAAAAAACCACTTCCAACTCGATGTATCCTCCACCTCCACAACTGCAAAAGCTACAGGAAATAGCCCACCGTTTGCATCTACACCGGTCGCAACCAAGATTACTCCTTTATACTTGCCATATAAATGTGTTCCATCGATACTTAAGAGCGGACGACAAAAAGAGAACCCTCTGATAGCGGGCCCAAATGCCCAAAAAACACATATGAACCTCTCCGTTTCTGGTGCGACCTCCTTAGACACTATGTCATATTCGGTACCCGGATTGTTCCGCACAATTGCTGAAAGGTAATGCGGAAGTAATTGGTAAGATTCCTCCCAATCTCCAAAGATTTTAGTCAACGCCTTCCTCCGTGCATCATATGCTTTAAACTTGGAAATTGTTATTCTTTTCATGTCATATACCCTTGTAATTATCTGTCCTGGAGTAAGATCAAGTTCCCGCCTAACTTCGGGCATAATTAGCTTTGCGATATAAGAGGAAGTCAAAGTCTTATGATCATAAGTTGCAGTCGAATTAGAACATGTATGGAGTCCGCAATAACTAGAGATTATAAACTGGCCAAGTGATTTTTTCCTAATAGCTGCATTAAGCTTCCATGGACACTTTGAATTTCTATCATCTGCAGCACTTGTATTCTCTCCTTGACCTCTCTCATTAAAGTAACACTTTACATGATAGCTAGTTGTGTTGCTTTTCACCGTCTTGAATTTGACCCGGTTTTTTATTGTCCATTCACGTATAGCGAAAATTAATGTTTCCTTGTTCTCGAAAAGATCTCCTTTCTTGAAAGTAAAGTCCTCGGATGGATCGAAATTAGGGCCAGGATCGACGAACTCAGCTTGTGAGGCATTTATCCACTCATCATTTTGAAACTCTTCTGGCAACGGCTCTTCAGACTCTACGTAGTCGTTATTTACGCAATATTCATCCATCCAACTTACGTCATCATTGGTCTCTCCAATTGCATACTGCATACTATCAAGACGTTCATCCTCTTCAGCATCTTCAGTATCATCATCGGCATCTACATCCTCATCATTATCCTCTGCTATTGTAGAACCCCCCGGTAAATCAACTGAAACATAACCCGGCGAGTTGTGGAACACGTCATTTGACATTGCACCCGACTCATTTTTAAAGCGCATGGCACTTTGAGATAACGAGATTTGATTATCAAGCATGCGGGAGAACTCTCCACGAGCATATGAAACTTCAGCGACCGAATACACTGGAATATTTTCAATAAACAACTCGATTGATACTTGTTTTTCCGCAAGCTGTATCATGTTATTCAATTCTTCATCATTGGTGATCTCTACAGCAATTGTTCTTTGATCATTTATTGGACAATTACAGAAGATCTTAATGGAATTTTCGACGTGATTAATTCCAGTGACTCTGTATATTTGCGCCACCAATCTATCAAAGTTGTAATTTCTGGACAACATGAACATTTTCCTAGAGCCTCCATCGTATATAGGCATATTATTCATTCCAATACTCAGATTTCCATTGAATAAGCAAATAATCGGTACTCCGTTCGCCATTTTAACTGAAGCATTAAAATTCATCATATAATAATTATATTTTTTTCCAGAGATTTTTCTAGACCATAATCATATATTTCTTCTAGATATACAACATTAACTAAACAATACATATAAATTTATGGAAAAATTAAAATTTGTACCTTGATTAAATCTCAGATCTCCTCGGCCTCGCAGAGAATCGACGGCGTCGGCGTCAGATTTGAGGGAGGAAGAGGTGAGTTGGGTTTGGGGGAGAGAGATAGGGATTGTTGGGTTTTGGGATAGATGGAGATCGGGTTTGGGAGAGAATGAGAGCTTTGATCGGCTTGGGAGAGAATGAGAGCTCGGGAAAGAGAGAGGGGGAGATCTAGAGTTGAGCTCAGGAGAGAGAGAGAGAGAGGGGATCGGAAGTGGGTGCTCGGGGGAGAGAGAGGGAGATGGCGAGAGAAAAAAACGAAGGGGAAAATGTGCCCTAGGTTCGGTGTATATATAGTCTGTAATTATACGGGACTAGTAGTCCCGTATAAATTGCAACCAGCCCAAAATCCACGGGACTAGTAGTCCCGTGGATTTGCTTGGTATAGGCTTCGCTGGCTCTGAAAAACGTACGGGACTACTAGTCCCGTACGTTTTGTTAACAAACAAAATTAGTGAACTTTAAACATACGGGACTAGTAGTCCCGTATGTTTTCTGATCCATTTTTCAAAATCGACCTCTTTTCCCAAAAAAACGGTCTATTTTGCTAATTTTTTCCAAAAACGGTCTATTTCGCTAATTTTTTTCCAAAAAAGGTCTATTTTGCAAATTTGCCCATTAAACAACCACTCCCCTCTTTCTTCTTCTTATTGGTGTTCACACCCACCACCTTGTTTCCATGCATACAAATCCAATCCTCTTCCCGATTGGAGCTGCTCAACCTCCTCAAGTCGCGCATAAACACCTCCCCGGAGTTCACACCCCACCTTGAAAATGGCAGACAAGCTCTCCGACACCGCCACATCAGCGAAACAGTCCTCCTCCTTTTACCTCCCACACCACCGCACCGGACCTCACAGCCCACAACCGGATATTTCCCGTCAGCCCCGACGGACCCGCATGCGAACCGGATGCGAGCAAGAGACTGAACCCGTTAACCCACTTGAGCTTGGTGGCCGGGATGGCAAAGTCCAGCTCAGCGCCGTACACCTCCCTCCATTTGGTTTGGCATGCTTGTCCTGGATTAGCATGTCTTGACTATATCGGACTAGTAGTCCCGTGTAGTTCGAAAAAATTCCCGCAGTAAAATCGACCATTTTCATTTGAGATGACATGAAAAGAGTCGATTTTGCTGTTTTTTTTATGAGAAGGCCAATTTTGCTCATTAAATTTGTAAAATGGTTGTTTTCAAAATTTTGTCTTTTTTATAGGGTTAACTGCGAACAGACCTGCACTACAGTTTTATTTATTACGAAAAAAACTTTTATAGTTCTGCATGTTGCGAACAGGCCCCATGTAGTATTGGCCAAAGTGCGAATACAATCTTAGTGAATTTTTTCGACTCTTTCAAAGTTAAAAAAAAAGTTTTAACAATTGGACATATATCCTCGCCAATAGAAGTACAAGGAATTTATCTGCCTCCTCAAATATTTTAAGGATTTTAAAAGTAAAAAAATAATAATTTCATGGCGTCTATTCGCAACAAGTAGAATTACAAGGGGTTTTATTCGAATGGAAATAAAAACATCCTCTTGCATTAGGTGGGGGAAAAGGACCTGACTACTAAATCGTGAAGGGCGATGGATGTTGAAGGTCAATCGAACCCAGTCACGTAACAACAAAAAGGGACCCCTTTATCGTTAAACAGCAATGAAAACCCTAACTAATCCTTTTGCAAGAGGAGTCTTTTTCTATTGATTTGTTAGAGATATATTTTTAAAACAACCATTTTACAAATTTAATGAGCAAAATCGACCTTCTCACCCACAAAAAAAAAGCAAAATATGACCCTTCTCAAAAAATTGTCCTAAAAAAAAATACGTACTACAGGATTAATACTCTGATTCTTTATACTCCCAAAGTGTCCATATTTGCAAACTCCCTCCAATGGCGACATCGCCTTCAATCTCACCTCCTCCTCCTCCTATCTCCCTCCCCTTGCTTCACGTCACCGCCGGCGGTAACCTTACCTTCTCCCATCACCACTCCGCTCAAATCCACGCTCGTGTCCTCCGCCTTAACCTCACCTCCTCTTCGCCCGCTTCCCACCTCCTCCACTTCCACAACTCCCTCATCCGCTCCTTCACCTCCCTCTCTTTCCACTCTCTCTCCCTCTCCCTCTTCCTCTCTCTCCTCAGTTCCAATCTCCAACCCGACGAATTCACCTTCCCCTTTGTCCTCAAGTCATCAACCCATCTCAATTCCCTCTCTCTAGGCCAACAGCTCCATACCCATCTCGTGAAATCCAACCTCCTCTTCACCAACGTCTTCTGTGACAGCGCATTGCTCGGTTTGTATGTAAAAATTGGTTCTTTTGATGATGCCGTCAAGGTGTTCGATAGAATGCATGAACGGAGCGTTGCGACTTGGAACTCGATGATTTCGGGGTTTGTGAGAAATGGGCGTCTGGAAAAGGGACTGGAGATGTTGGATTTGATGGAAAGTTTGGGTTTTGAGGTTGGGGTTAGCAGTTGGAACTCGGTTATTGCGGGTTGTGTTTGGTTGGGCGAGGTTGAGCTTGCATTGAACGTTTTGGGGAAGATGGTGGAGGATGTGAGGCCTAATCATGCTACTTTTAATACACTTCTTCCAGTGATTTCGGAGATCTCGACTTTGGATTTGTTGAAGGAGTTTCATGGTTTTGCTGTTAGGAATGTCGGGGTCGTAGATATTAGTCCTGTAGATGAAGAGAGGTTATGGTCTGCTATTGCAGCTGGTTATGCTTGTCATAGAGCTATGGGTTGTGCAATGAAGTTGTTTGAGAGGATTAAGTTGAAAAATTCCCATTTGGGGAATTCGATGATTTCAGGTTTCCTCAATTGTGGACAGACTGATGAAGCGTTCAGTGTGTTCCGAGAAATGGCTGCTGAGTGTATTCATGAGGCAAAAATTCTCTCTAAAGTCTCTCTTACTTTGCTCCTTCCTGAATGTGGGGTGAATACAAAGACCGGATTAGAGATTCATGCTTATGCTATTAGAAGAGGTTTAGAGTCCGATACTTCGGTGGGTAACGCATTGATGGCCATGTATTCGAAAAGAGAAGACAAGGAATCAGTCGAAAAAGTATTTGTAAGGACTATTGATAAGGATGTTGTTTCTTGGAACACTATAATAGCAAGTTATGTGATGACCAATGAGTTTGATCGCGCATTTGAGCTTTTCCAGCGAATTTCGGCTGAGGGATTAAAACCGGATGAATATTCGTTTAGTTCGATTCTCAATGGATGTGGGCTTTCTTCCTATCTTCAACAAGGCATGGCGTTACACGGGCATATGATGAAGTCTGGGTTTTCACGGTCGTATCCTGTTGTCCAAAACTCTCTCATGGATGCTTATGGAAAATGTGGGTGTGTTGAAGAAGCTCGTAGGGTTTTTGACGAGATGGAGTGGAGTGATAGTATATCATGGAACACCATTATCTCATGTTATGGTTTCAATGACTCCCCATATGAAACTATTTCTTTGTTTGAGAAAATGATAGAGCAAGGATGGAAACCGAATCGGATCACATTCATTGCCCTTTTATCTGCATGTAGTCATGCTGGATTGCTTGAAGAGGGGTTGCATTACTTTGAGACTATGGAGCAAGTTCATGGGATAGTTCCTGATTTGGATCATTATACTTGTATAGTGGATACTATGGGAAGATTGGGTCAACTGCAAAGAGCTTATAAATTCATCAGAGATATGCCTATTGTACCTGATGATTGTATTTGGAGTGCGCTCCTTAGTAGTTGTAGGATCCATGGGAATATCGAATTGGCTGAGATTGCGGCTAAGAATCTGATAGAGTTGGAGCCTCGACATTCTGGATACTGGGTTTTGCTGTCGAATACTTATGCTAAAGCTTCGAGGTGGAAAGATGTGGCGAATGTTCGAGCGGCTATGAAGGATGGTGGTGTGAAGAAGAGTCCTGGGTTTAGTTGGATTGAGGTTAGGGGAAGCGAGCTTCATCGATTCTTTAATGCCGACAAGCTTCATGAAGATTGTGATTCTATTTATCTTGCTCTTGATGGTTTATCTGATCAGTTGAAGGATGAGGGTTATGTACCAATTTTGAATCCGAGCACCTAAAGTTACTCTAAAGACTGATGGCATATGCATGGATCATCGATCGAGTACTGTAATTATAGTTTCACAGGCTATTCGATATATTAAAGAAAAAAGGAACATAAAGAGAGATGACTTCGGCTCAGAATCTTCTGTGAGCTTGCAGTGCCATTGTGTATGCATGGGGAGAGATCGAGACGACGAGGACATACATCAGACTGTAGATATATGCGAGGGCGGATGGATATCTTGACGGCTACCATACTACTGAGCTTCACAAAGATAGCAGGTGTTTAATTCTTTCCCTGCAGTATTTTTATTTTTATTTTTTGATGATAAACAAAAAGTCACGGAATGAAATATCAGTTTATAGCATTCTTACGGGTTTACCCAAATTTGCAACGTCTGTCTATGCATGTATTTCCCTATTATTTTCATCCTGAAAAGAATACCGCTACGCATCCGGCAGTATTTTTGAGCTTAATTGCAAGTTAAGCACTAAATTATTATCACCGTTATAGGGATACAAACAATGGAAGTGTGAAACTACTCGGATTTTTGTCTCGATGATGATCAAAATTTTCTAAGCGAACCTCCTCATCTTCCTCACTGAAGATGCCTTCTCCTGCAATTACAGTTAAAGTTCTTATTCCAAGGCTGAATCGCACATCGGTGCAATTCCTCATAACATGCAAATGGCAGTTCTTCCTTAATAATAAAATTCGGCATAGGCATAAACTTTTCAGTTAAAAAAAATGTCATAATAGTTGTCAATCTTTAGCAACTTCAATGCAAATTGCCACCTTTAGCCCATCTTTTATCCAACAAGGATCCAATTCTCCACACATCATCATATCATCCAAGTCCACGACACGCCCTACTAGCATAATCCAATGGCTAACATTTAGTAACTAAGTACATGATTGATTTACAATAACAGTATAATATGCAATATGTTCGATTAAGTCAACTTCAAAAAAAAAAAAAAATAGAACTCGTATTTTATATACAAGCAGTACTTTCCCATGAGAAAATAGTTACAATTCACCAGGCTGAGAATAGTCACCCGGCTCTTCTTCAAGAGGCATTGACGGTGGGGTTCCAGGAGGAATGCAAGCTGCTCCCTGTTCTCCAGCACAGTTGCAGAGAGCCTCAGCGTCTCTTATGATGTCGTCAAGATTGATGCCACCACTGAGCTCGTTGATGAACTTCAAGAGAGTGTCGAAGTCCATTTGCTCACCCACAATCCTTTGCCGGTACTTCTTCAAGATAGCAACACACATGTACAAATGGAAGTGCTCTGATAGGTAGTAAGTCCATAGTACCTCCCAAAGATGCATTATTTTCTCGTACTCAAACTCCCTTAAAAACATTACAAATCAATAGGACAATCAGAGTTACATAGAGCACTTGATGTAGGACAACTTCCCCTTGGAAAATAGTATAAAATAGATGAGATAAACAAACAATTTAAAATAGATGTTAAGATTTTCTTTTAATATAAGAACTTTGATTTCAGAAGAAATTTTTATACAACCTTATCAACAAGAAGCAAAATGTTAATTAGGAACATAAAGTCCAAGCATTTGACAATCTTATCTGGACATACCTTTTAAACTGTATAAGAATCCAACGGAAACAAAAGAAGTAATTCAAGCAGTCTTTCTGTCTCAAGTAATTGTGCAATGGCTGATCTAGAAGCTCCACCAGCTGAAAAGGGCAGATGCACAACAAATTAGAGGCAAATTACACATGTTACAAACTTGCAAGTCTGAAACATTTTTAAAAATTACAATAAAACACGTGTAAGCTTATGTCAACCCTCCATACTCAACCTTAGACAATGCAAAAAGTTGGGAATGCATTCCATTTTGATCGCGATTAAAATTTGGTCCCAGACGTTCCATGAGAGCAACAAAACACCAAAATGATTCTGACTCATCTTCCATTACAAATAATATCGGTGACAGAAAATCACTCATACCCTGGAAAGCCATACTGATATCAGCCGCAAAACATAACAAAGACGTTACAAAAGACAAAATAATTCTTATAATTGGAATTTCCGTTATGTTGGCTTCTATAGATTTAAGGGCATGAAGTAAACAACAAGTCGTAGGTAAAGATTGAGAAAATGATTTATGCAAGTAGTTCATCTATATCATAATGTAGTGATACCTTGGTGCAAACAATAAAGAGAAGATAAAAGGCAGATTCTCACACTAAAAACAAGTCAATATATAAGATGGCAGATAAAACCAAAATAGGAACAAAATGACAATGCCAGATATCAATTTTCTCAAGAAAAGTAGAAGAGAAAAGGTGATATAGTACAGAGCTTACCTGACAATAACCAAGATCAAAATTGTAGAACGAGTACGTCAGCAGTATATCATGTAGACGTCTCACATGGGGATTGTCATCTCCGTCGAAATATGATACAGATCTATCAGTTCTCACCTTGAAATGAACATGACAAGGAAAAAGTCAGCAACATAAAGTAACAGACCAGTGAAGTTGCAATACTGCTTTCAGTTGGATCACAAAGAACGGTAGCGGGATTGAGATAAATCGATGCAGAAATTCTTCATTACCACATCCTTTTCAATCAGGCCTCTTCTTTCCCTGAACTTCGTAAACCTTCTCGCTTGTGCTTCGGAAATGTTCTGCACATTTGAAGAATGGTGGAAAAAGATTGTTAAATTAGTAAATATGTAAATGGACAAAGTTTCCCAAAGTACTCTACCAAGTCAAGTGCATAAATACATAAGAGGTAAAAACATAATTCTTTTTCTGCATTTCTCTGTTTCAGCCACCTAAGTAGTCCACAAAGCAAGTGTCTTTTGACCTCAAAATATCAATGGGAATAAAATGCCATCACTTTTACATGTAATTTATATCAACTATTGTATATACGTGATTACCATATTTCAACCTCATGGAAATGATAAATGAGTCTAAACATGATAAGTTGTACCAAAACCTAGAATCTATATTATTAGCTACAACTAAGTAACAAAAATAACTCAGATATACCTGTACTAAAACAGGTTATCCTAAAAACAAGATTGATTGTCAAAATTCGTTAATAGATATCTAATAAGGATCATAAATATGATTTGGAAGTGGATTATGACATGATAAAATCCAATAATCATCGGAAACAAATCAACCCAGGTTATGTCATTTCACTGTACAATGCCTGCTGACAATTTCCTGGGTGGTAAAAGGCCTGCCAAGTAACAAACAGATGTGATAAATGGAAATTATTAGAACAAATTTTTCCATTTCATTAATAACAGCAGAACAGCAGCAAGAAAAAAGAAAGAAAAGAAAAGAAAATTCGCTCCTGAAGCCAAGGTCAGGGGCTAAAGGACTGACAAGCGTTTGTAGGGAGTGACTAGTTCAAAAAATAAGCTATGATCTATTTAAAAATAGATGATACAAAATAAGACTTCCTCACCAAAAGAAATCATTTAAGGCGTAAACTCGAAATTCATAAACTTCCATGAAAACATGTAGTTTACCTAGTTCTCCATGAAATATGCTACCCTCTAGAATTTTTGGTTTGTCAACTCAAGACATACTGACGATAGATGATAGATCCTCTCTTCGTCTTAGAACTTATTAAATAAATGATCAAGCTTTTAAAGAGAAAATTCTAACTAATCAAATATTCTATGGAAACAGACCTGCCACTGGGATTTTATTGTTTCATACTCCAACTTCTTAACTGCTGCAAGATATTCCCTCTCAGCAAATGTTGAATCATATGCATAGTACCCCAACAAAAATTTCCAAATCTGCAAAACCATGACCCATTTAGCCACATGATACGTAACAATATGTACATAAGATGTAGTAAAGTACATGCTGCAGAATTACAAACCTCCTTCCGCAGACCATGTTCAACTCCTCCATAGAAAATTCTTTTCCTTAATGCCTTTGAATCAACAATTCTCCCTTCAGAGTCCAAGAAAGCTTCCCACTGTACAGCATTCATAATTAGCATTAAAAAGGGAATACAGGTGAATACCAGCTTAAAAGAGTTATTTTTGCTGCCAAAAGCATAAAAGGATTTTAATTACTACAAGAAAATATCAAATCAGGAAGACCCTTTACAGAAAAAGCAAGGATACAATGGGTACAACTACATATTTTAATCAAACTTCGATCAAAAGATCCAAAAAGCAATTTTCATACATATCTAACCAAATGCATAATGAAAAATTATCACCAAATATACATAGCGAAAAGTGGTCAGATTAATCAGTACACATTCTACTAAAAATATTCTCATTGGCCTTATAGTGCATAACTAAGTTATTCAAATTTCTCTCACCGGCATCTTGCCCTCTCTCCTTGTACAGATGATTTTGCCTATTCTTTTGCTTTATCAGTGACAAAAGTTGCGTTGCTAAGCAGAATACACTTAGGCCGTGTGCCACCATGAACCTTACACCAAGCCAGATTTAGCTCAGGGAACTATTTTCTGGTAAAATAACCAAGACCACTACTTAAACTGGTGCTTGACCGTTGAGAAAATATACAAAGTAGTTTCCGTCTCTCCAGTTGAGGTTCACACCATCGCATTCTCTAGAAGTATCCTCTTCTGTGCTGTTTGTAAAATACTGTTAATGTAGAGAACCATGGGGAACACGAGCATGTTGGGTGTTGGAACTCAACTAATAAGTCAATTATAAACTAAACTTAGTTTATGTTCCATTACAATTTTTATTTGGTCAAATTATTTTGAGTGAGGCAACTCCTAGCTGTTGTTATATGGCAGTATTGAAGGGCGCAAATTGCTGGTTTGGACAGAATATGGAGAGTGCAGGACTCATTATAGATAACTACAAAGGCTCAGGTATCTAACATCTTCATAGGTAGGGACAGCTGCAATGTAACTAAGAAGTAAGAAGTGATCATAGAGTGAGAAATCTAACTAAAGCAAAAGCCAGATGTGATGAATATATGAAATTAGATACTATACAAAGATAGGGCAAGTCGAATCATGTCAAATTTATCTCCGAAGATGTTAAATTTTTTAAGTGTACCTCATTAAAGCATATCTCATAGATTTGTACACTAAAAGATCTTGAAATTAACTTAAAATTCTAAAGAAAAGCATCCTATATTGGATCGGGCGAATTCAATGACATTTTTTTCCTTCTCGTTTAGTCATTTTGATTGGACTCTATAGATTAAGGTGTTGAAAATGTGATTTGACAGTTATTCGTGACGAATAGAATGTTCATGTTGCAGGCTTCTGAATTCAGATGTTGCAGGCTTCTGAATTCAGATATTCCATTGCATCTCAATTCATGGTCCCTTTTTTTATCTTCTTTCCTATTTTCTTCTTCCCATATCCTAGTTCTTTGTCCATCCAACTCCAACAATCTTTTTTCTATGAATTATATTAGTTTAGTATATATTCACCTTCATATTTTTGTCACAAAGTCCAGCTTGGCATCCTAAAAGTTTGCTTCTTCTGTGTTCATTTCTTGGCAGTTACTCAGGGACTAGAACTTTGAACGGAATGGTCTGTGCTATTTAAGTTGATTTTAAAAATTTGTCCATATATGAAAGGGATATTGAGAGTTTAATCACAAATACAGATCACATAATGGCAGGATTAACTGAAAACTGAAAAATGCATTGGACATAACACTTTAAATAATTCCTAATATCGCAGGGTTTCAAGCCATATGTCATCTGTAAAACTCATGGTTATACATTATTCACGGCAATAAAAAGGTAGCCCTTTTAAACTATACTCGAAGAGATGTAGTCAGTAATTTCATAGAAATTCCTGAGGCTATGTAGTTACTAATTTAATAAGACAGCTGAATATGAAGAGAAATTCACATGAAACATTTTTATGGCAGCAACCAATTCTCCCATAGAAGTGCCAGCTTCATAAAAGTTTTGGAATAATATTCAATAGACAGTTTCAATGTTCAGCAAGACGCAAACTGGCAATAATAAACACAATGTTTTCAGAAATTTGCAACTTCAAGATATTAAAAATAGCTAATTGATAAGAGACATATGACATGTAGAAGAGCACTGATATGCTTTATTACCTTTGAATGAACGTTTAAATTTTAGAGAGAAATGAATATGAAACCATACCTCTTCAACTCCCAAAGGTCGCTGCCTTGGTTTTCCCCACACTAGATTTAGCTCATCAGACTGTCAACAAGCGGAATATGTTAGTTATTTGTACTTACTGTAACTATCCTACGATACATCATCTGTTAATTATCTTTTGCAAGAAAACATAAGACAACTTTTATTAACCGGATTTATATTTGTGGCAGAACATATAGAAAAGTCCTCTGGAGATCAACATGAGAGGGGTGAAGGAAATATAGTAGTGCTTAAGCTATGAGAAATTTAACTCTATCAAAACCTTGTAGTCAAAGATAGTTAAAACATGAGTACATATAATGAATTTTCTTCTAAAAGACTCGTAAGCACCAAGTTTTCTATCTACAACAACCAGTACCAGTTATACAACATAAACATTCACTGCATGCAACTAATTTTCACATCATTCCAGGGAAATTATTTTGCTGCCTGAAACAAGTCTCAACAAAAAATTTCAGTTACGGATGAGACTATAAAAGGTCCATCGTTTCCAACTTTGAGAAACTAGATATCTTAAGATGCGAACAAATTATGAGTAGAGCTTCATGTCCTTAGGTCAATATGGGTTAGAAAAACAATATACTACTTCAATGACGAAAAGAATCAAAGATGTACCAAGATATGAAAATAAGGACAGCACTCCGAAAATTTTACTGAACATGAAAATTATCTCTACCAAACTGTTAAAAAACACACATGAGGTTACCTTCAAAGTATCTGAATTCTCCAATTTTTCTTCAGGAGTTGCTTTTGTGTCATTTGGTGGACTAACAATTTCATTCATCTGAACTGAATCCTTCTTTTGCTTTCTCTCGTAAGCATTGAATCCATTGTTTTGACTTTCACGAAAAATTTGTGATGTGGTTTCCCGAGCAAATCTGGTAAGCAGCGAAAATTTCTCCAAGACCTGAAGCGAGATGTCATGAGCAGGATCATGAACTCTATGCTTGTGTCTCCCAGTATAATCCAAACTACTGGAACCCTCATCATAGCTGGTATCATCAGGCCTCCGGGAGTCAAGTGAAGATACTGAATTAGTTAAATTTTGCAAAGATGCCCCATTTGCAATACCAAGAGCCCCAGGCAAATCCAGATATGATAGACTTCTCTGCAATATAAATAGAAGCAGCAGAAAATTAACAAATAAATAATAGGTTACCTTTCTTCATAGCATTTTTCTTGTTCTCTTACACTAACTTAAGATGGACTTCTAGAAAATCATTAATATTACCAACGTGCAGCCATAAATAGAGAGGACCCAGAGGAGATAGAGATATATTGTAATCAAGCATGAAATATCTTATATTGTAATCAAGCATGAAATATCTCAATAAAAACAAGAATTATAAGCAACTATTTTCATGAAATGATCATCATATAATCAAGCATGAAATATCTCAATAAAAACAAGAATTATAAGCAACTATTTTCATGAAATGATCATCATATATGTACACTGACAACAAAGAAGAAGCAGTATAAGCAACTATTTTCATGAAATGATCATCATATATGTACACTGACAACAAAGAAGAAGCAGGTACTTTAGCATAAAAAATACTTCATTCCCCTCATAGTACTTGCACCAGTGAAACTTAAGCATGGCATAAATGATGAACAAGTATAAAACAATCATTTTAAGAATGAGGCAAGGTTAAATATCAATGTGACAGAGGTAACTAACTTCAAACAACTAAATGGCTGCTATAAACAGAAGGCAGAAGTCCTAGCGAAATCAGAAGTGCAGAAGCATTATACATCTTATTCAGCCTCTTCCAAATATGAATACACATGTGCCTAATTATGAAAAGGATGCTATTGTACACAACTCTACATAGACTAAACAAATTCTCTCTTAATTATAAAGCCATAATGACATATGAAAAACTACAGTAAAAGTATGCACCTGAAGAGGATCCTGAAAATTGTTCACAAGAAAGACATTTGCATCATCTGCCGACCTGAAAAGACCATTCTTAATAAGATTTGATAATAACTACCCTCTTGCATCATCCGAAAGAAAAGTTACAGGGACCGAAGGATTAGGGATTTGGCAGTATATGATGACTTTGAACTTATCGGGGCATGCATGTCTACGGAGTATGGACCTAAGGTCTAATACATATCTAAGAATTTCATATCATAATTTACAGACTGTTTCCTATGGTTAGTATTATTGTAGTTGGGAGCGAGGAGGTTAGAGAGCTATAAGATACAAGAAAAAAAAGGAAAACCAACCTGACAATAAGAACATGCTGCTTTAACATTGCAAGAAATTCTCGAACCCCTCCATTGTAGAAATAAAGCGGAGGATATGCTAGACCTGAATTTTTTTTTAATACCAAGTTAGTAAGAGATGTAAGGGAACGACTCTATTCAGTAGAGGGAATGTATCTAATGGACACATCATATCATTCACCCTAGTGGACAAAAAAGAAACTGACACACCTTGGCTAACTACTTAGAAAGATATAAATGCCTACCATGTCGTGGTTATGCATCTGATACAATGATAGTGCTGAGAAACAGTCCCAAAAAGAAGTCTTGGGAAGTGTATTATTATCATGGTCAAGGTTTTTCATGTGGTATGCTGGAACTCATAAGGAGCATAACAAATAACCAGCAAGCCTGGCGTCGTAATACTTCTGATAGCCAAAGTGCTACACTTACATGCATTGATTAATTACAATACACTGTTTAGCTTTAGAAAGTCGAAATTACAATGATAGTGCTGAGAAACAATCCCAAAAAGAAGTCTTGGGAAGTGTACTATTATCATTGTCAAGGGTTTTCATGTGGTATGCTGGAACTCATAAGGAGCATAACAAATAACCAGCAAGCCTGGCGTCGTAATACTTCTAATAGCCAAAGTGCTACACTTACATGCATTGATTAATTACAATACACTGTTTAGCTTTAGAAAGTCGAAATAGCTGAAAGGAACATAAACCTGTGTGAGACTCAGAAATGCCATTGAAAAGGTGGTAAATGAAGTTCCATGGAAGTTCGTACTTTGTACCATATGTAACCTGATGCATATGTTTCTCAGCAAGCTTTTCATCTTAACACGCCTAACAGCCAATAAAAAATTATTCTAGTTTTTTCAGTCCTAGAAGTAATATTATTTCATATTCTTCACACTTTCATGTACATTTGTTTATAAGAAAAGTAGGCAGCTCGGCATACAAGTACAAACAAGAGGAACAAACAAAAAGTAAGACTACACCACCATCAGACGTGAAACAGAGAAATCAACCTAAACTCATACGACACTGCTTGAAATCAACACCATGCCATCAACCTAGTCAAAGAATCATATGATCTACCTGAGGTTCTACGGAAAAGGATAAAACTGGTATGATACAATGTCCCGTGATCCCTAGAGCTACTAGGCAGTAGAATATTCCGCCCTACCCTTTGCAAAGACGCATTATCCACACGCCTATCCTCGTATGCTCACATAACTTTCCTCCAATACAACAGCTACAGAGGAAAGAGACACCTTCCTCTCCAATAAACAACCTGAGCAGTGCATAACAGTAGTTGATTCCTCCGTAACTATTGTTGGTCTTATAGTTGCAAGTGCCAATTCTTACTTTTTCTACTAAGTTAATAGGATGTAAAAAAAATTATGGTCAAATTGTTCAGAAATGAGAGATTGTTTATGGTGATATAAACATCAAACGAAGAGTCCATCAGTAAAATCCTACTCCAAATACTTATCTATCTCAAAGAGGCATGGGTCCAAGAGAATACTTCCAGCAACAGGAAATAATGATATGATAAATGAGATCATTTTACCTGATGATAGGACGATAATTATGTATTGCCAGCCAAACGGAGGTGTATGCCTACGGACTGAACGTATATCACTTAAAGGCACATCTTTTATGGTGTATAGGTTTCTATCTGCAAAACAATTTCACATTACAAACTATTATGAGCACAGACATATAGAATTATATTATACGATTAAAAATACAAAGAAATAATATCAAATGCCCAAACCTTTCGCTAGGGTGCTCGGATTTGAGCTGCGTCCAAATGAATCAACCCTATCATAACTAGGCTTATAAGGTATCCATGTCTGCAAATTGCAAAAACTTCATTAGGTAAAAATATCAACTACTGCTTAACACAAGGTCTGAACATTAATGTTAGAGAAGTAATCTCAAGCTACAAAAGATGACTGAAATTTTCAATAGGACAAATGAAACAAAGCTCCCTTAGAAACTCTAGAAAATTCTCACAAATTTTACAAAATCTAGAACCCCTGATTTGCAGAAACTATACCAATTTTTTTTTTCGAATCCATCAGAAACCCCTAATCTGCAGAACAGTTCTCGCAAATTTCACAAAACCCCTTCATCAAAAATCTGATCGCAGAAACTTGCAAAACGTTATTTCATTAAAAAAAAAGTACCATTTTTCACGAGAATTGCATAATTAACACCAAATCAATCCAATCGAAACCCTAATTTCACAAAAAAAACCAGAAATTACCAAGAACACGAGAGATCCTTGCTTGACGAGGCGCAATCGACCACTGATCCGCTCAGTCGCCATCTGCGTCGGATGGATCGCAACATTATCCTTCGAATAGACAACCTCGAACTCAGCGCTCTCATCAAATCCACTCATCTCGCCCGAATCCAACCGAACGCTGCTGCTCAAACCCTAGATCCACAAACACAACGAGTTATCGCCGACGAGTTCGATCAATTCGATCGATCGAGATCGGAGAGGAGGTAGGGTTAGGGCTTACCTGGAATTGAGAGGCGGCGTAGTCGGAGTCATCGGAGAGATCGTGCTGCTCCGATTCCGATCCTTCTTCTTCTTTGATAAGCATCGCGCGAGATTTTTTCTGAGGAAAGAGGGAAATAACGAAGATACGAGATTGGGCTGCAATTTGCAATTTATTTATTTATTTATATTTATAATAGGATGGTAATACTTGGAGATTAAGGAATAGCGTGACGCGGTAATGAAGTCATTCTTTTTTCTTTTCTTTTCTTTTTTTAGGAATTCTTTTTTAAAATTTCACTCACATTCCAAAAATGAAAATATCCATAGTGAATCCTTTCATAACCCAGTTTTAGTAGTTATAATAATGTCCAATTTGATGTAATTAGGGTCTTTTTTGATGTTTGGAAGAGTATTGGTTATTTATGACATCAAAGGGAAAATGATTGTCCATCTCATCATTTTTTATTTGAGTATTTACATTGTTTGGTTGATTTTCACTATAAATTCTATAATAGTAGTATTACATTGTTTGGGCGCATCTTATGATCTTGTAAAGTGATAGTTATATGAACCCATTCAAACAGAATAGTAAGATTACATCTGTGGAACCCAAAAGCAAAATATCTTAAGTTTGTGCATTCATTAGTAACCACTTAACTTGAAAAAAATAACCAAAACTCCCAAAAGTTTTGAGCTTCTCAAAAAAAAACCTTCAACTTTCAATCTTTTTTCCAAAAAATCACCCTCAACTGTCAACATTTTTTGAACCCCCCAGCCCCCGGACCTCCAAAATAGGGTTAATTGTAATTTTCATATGGATGGTAAAATTATGCAAAAAAGATATTTTTGTCAGTGAAAATTATGGTCACACTTTTAGAGGTTTCGATAAAGCATGGAAAGTTGAACTGAGTTTTCTAAGAATTACAAAACTTTAGGGGGTTGCTATCATTTTGAAAGTTAAGGTGGGTTATTTAAGAAACACCCAATATTAAGGGCTAAATATCAGAACCCTCGATTGGGTCATTTAAGAATCACAAAACTTTAGAGAGTTCATTAATATATTTGTTTTATCTGAAATGTTTGGATTGGAACTCTTGATCAGTAGAACTAGTCTTGAATTCATTAATCTAAATATTGAAATAATTTATATATCTATGATCAACATATATCTAGATATTTCAGATACAGAGCCGAATATTTCTCTACAAAACCATATCCGTAATAATATCTTATTAGTTATAGATTTGAGTAACTATATATATATATATCCTAACGAATACAGATACAGTTTACCACCTGATGCACATCTTAGAAAGATGGATAGATCAGACCCACCATCGAGACAAAACTGACAGAGAGGCTATGATAGTCCTCTTAGAGTATGTATGAGTACTTATATATGGGTTTAGGATGTGTTATTTGGGCTTTAATTTGTTAGCATAGTTTTTTGGATTAAGTATGATTTAGAACATGAGAACCATACTGGAACCTCCCCAACCATCTGGTCACCCGCTGTGGGTGGGAGTGTCTAAAACTAAACAGAATAAAATTTTGAGTTTGCAAAAAGAAGAAAAAAAAGTTCAAGAGTAAAGTTTAGTATTAATGGCTGGTTAGGTGTTGCTAGAGATTATAATAAGTTGCCTTCATATTTTGGGCCATGCATACATCACGTGCACTTGAATACTAGCTACTTCGTAGAAACGACTTATATAAGCTATTGAAAATAGTTATTTGCTAATCATATATCAAAAACTTCCTTCAAAAGTAGCTTAATTATGTATTTGGTAAAACCGTGGTTAAAGATCTTTGTCAAAAGATAAATATCATGTATGGTATATAAAAGCATCACGAGGTTGCTTCTAAAAGCACCCCCATAAGAAGCAAAAGCAATTTCAATAAGCATGCTAAAAGATTTTCATCAAACATCATCATTGATTGCTTCTAAGAAAAGAGGCAGAAGCAACCCAAAAAATATTGATTTGAACTGTAAGATTGTAACTATTTATTCTTGCATTTGGGATGATTACAATATTAGCTGCTTATGTTTTATGCATTCTACCTGTTGAAAACTAAGATCGTAGCGATTGATGGATTTTGTGATTTAATTTGGTAACGTCATTATGTGGATAAATAAATTACTTAGTGCTGAAGTATACAGAATGGCCCTCAGATCCTTCGTCCATGCTGGTCGACCGTGGTGGGGCATTTGTTTTCTACCTATTATTAATTGTTGTGCGTTTCTCAGAAAGCATAAATGACAGCATCATGTTTGGTTTAAACGTGAATTTATTATATTTTTAAACATTGGTCATTAATAATTCTCAATGGAACCTGTGATTTCTTATCAATATTTAGATTATAAATCAGTAAATAATTGACAAACGATCAAGGACTATATTAGAAAGAATACTAGAGTGTACTTCTTTTCGAGTTCGAGATGGAATATGATCGAAGAAAACACGTGCACTTTAATAAATATGTTTACAAACTGTTTATGTTAGAAAATTGATCGCATGGGTTGGTAGATATTTAAAGAAGTTTAGAGCCCCTTGATCTTCCTTGATAGTCAGGGGCGTAGCCAGAGCTTGCTTGCCATGGGCAAGAAACTCCGCCTCTCCCACGACCTCTCCCTCCTCCCCTCGCTTCCCCTCCTCTCCCCCCACTTCACCTCCCTCTCCCAGAGATCCAACCTCCTCTCCCTCCTCTTCCACGACCTCCATCTCAACAATCCCCACCATCCTCCCTCTTCCACGCCTCCCTCTTCTCCCTCACGACATACTCGTAGACCACCTTTATCTTTCGCCCAGGGCAAAAAATAATCCTGGCTACGTCATTGTAATGATAGTTGATCAGTCAGGAGGAAGTAGATTAATGCACATGAAACACACGTTAGAAGGTCGGAGTTTGTTGCTCAGGCGTGCCCTCCGACTTTCAAATGAGTGATAGATTAAGCAAATTCGCAGAATCTATATTCAAAGAGTAATTTAGTGACACGTATTTGGGTCTTGCTGACTAGTTTGTTATTTTCTATGTTTTTTTTTTAATTCCTACTAGTAAGTAGGGAGTTGTTAGTGATTTTTTCTTTTATGCTCGTCACCACATTTCAGTTAGTGCAAGACGTGGGCTGAAATTCTGCTCTGTAAGGCTATAATAGTCGAAACCGTCTCTCAATGAATGTGTGTGTCATTCTCCCAATTTGTTAAAATCATTCGATCCTTTGATTCTTAACATTTAGTAGTTTTTTTGACATATATTCGAATAGTGGAGATTGTTTACTATTTATAGAGGGTTGGTAGGGGCAAATCAGTAATTTAACCGAGTCAGTGTAGTTGGCTAGTCGGACCGCACTTTATAAATGTCAGCAACGATAGCGACAGAACGAGTTAAATACTAACGCGATCCAAAAAATCATAACTTCGGTCCAAGGAGTCATAATGACTCTCTGACTCAACATTAAATACGATGATAATCGAGCTGCGAAGTACGATTGTTGAAGCTGACAGATCGTCTTGTCATTCGAGATATAGTGAGGGCCCTAATGGAACATGCCTTTCATCTCGGACTTAGTCTTTTTTAGCGCATCCCAGCTTGAAGATGTCTTTTGTCTCAGATTTGGATCGCCAGATGGGCCGGTGATGCTCACACCCGAATCGAGCTTTCGAATTAGTAGGACTTGGCTATTTAATTATGATACATGGCCGACCTTTCATAGTTCGTTAAACTTGGTAATTCTCATGATACAACAGATGCATATACATATGCTTAAATAGGCGGTCATAGGTCTGGTTTGAAGGCAGATATAAATTCACTGGGTTTATACGAAGACGAACCCATCATATTGTCCAAAATTTACCTGAGTATACCGGTTTTCCAAATTATCAAATGGTATGCGCAAAAGAACATGCCAGATAAATAAAAGTAATTTCTATCGTTCATCAAATCCGTTGTAGTCTAGTTGGTTAGGATACTCGGCTCTCACCCGAGAGACCCGGGTTCAAGTCCCGGCAACGGAAAGGTATTGTATTTTATATTCTTAAAATTTTTGCTTAATTTTGTTATCGGGAGGAATTTTCTTACTAAAATAAAATAATAAAAGAAGTTAATGAAATTTTATGATGTTTGACAATAAACTTTGACGTGTTATACAATAGTTGAATAAATCACCCCATTTATTGAACCTCAAAAGCAAACTTTTTTTAAAATTAGAAAAGTTATAATAATAGATCTCGTGAATAATGGATATATCATATAAAAGATATAGACAAGCATTTGGAGTGTCCGTGGACCCATAAGTTAGATCCATGAGAATTTTTCTAATTCATTCATTTCGATGGAAAAATAGGAAGATACTAAATAAATTTGTGAAGCCTCATGAATTTTTTTTTTCTTTCAGCGGACTTAGTTTGAATGATCTCTAAGCCTGATCATGGTTTATCCAATATAGTAAGAGTCAGTATTATTATTTTATTGTGGTATTTGTGATTATTACTGATTAGTTTTTTTTTTAATTTTCTCAAAACATTGAGTTTGCGAATAGTAATGATGGTTAGTGCGTGCGTGTTGTATTTTTCTTCAACTGATCTTTATAGTCTGCTTTTATGCGAATAGTACGTAATTTCGATCGAGGTCTGCTTTGTTTTTACGGGTTGTTTTGTTTACTAGCGTTTCCTTTTTCTCTCAAACCTTTATGCAAAAATGTAAGGGGTTGCACAAAAATGACGTAAAGTTTCTGTCTTGAACATTCTGCTTGCAATTAATTGTCCATTTTCTACTACTCATCAACTTAAGTGACATGCTTTTGTTGAGTAATTCCTCAGGGGCTTCAAATTTTCTATCAAATTTTGTTCTTAGTGCAGGCATTCAGTGTATTATCTTCGTTTACCTATTTTTCCAGCGTGGGCTATTACCCAAAATGAGAATGGAAAGAGGGAAAACTAAAGCTGATACAGACGGATGAATTTAATTTACACAGAAATATCAGTGCATGTCTGAAACTGCAGTACCTCATTTGTTGGTCATTCCCTCCAAAGGGCATGATCAAGATCTCCTCTGCATGGTTGGAGGAGAATTCAGGTTGAATGTGATTCTTTAAATCCTGTTCAAATGCTTCATGATGCTATACGTATCCCTCAACATCTGATTTAGTTGGTGGGTGTTTGTTGGCATGTG